GCGCACACACACACACACACACACACACAATGCGCAAAACTCCGCATTTGAACAGTCAATAGCAAATACTTAAACTAATAACAAAACAGTAACTGATTCAGAAGCGCAGATTGTCATAGCAAAGTCAGAATTACCTGCTCTCCTAGGTTCACGAAACGGTCGTCCATAAAATGCATTGCTGTTCTGTTGTAAGTAATCTTAAAGATTCCTAAATGCATCTACTTTCGGAAGGCCAAATAAAGTGCTTTTGCTTTCGCCTAGAAACACACAGCGTCTCCCTGACATGGCTGCTTCAACACTAACTGCGGTTACTGAAACCACACCTTCTTTCTTTGCGAGAATATTTGGGCGGCATTATGCAAATATTTCCACATAGTGAGGTAGATATGTGGGGGCGTGTTAGAACGAGCCGTTTTAGGGGGGCGTGGCAGAGTCTTAACTTTGAGAAAGAATATCTCTTTGGTTTCGAGACTTTAGTCTTTGCAACTTCAGGGATCTTATCTATGCACAATCAGCTTGTAACACTCCAAAGAGAAAGGAAAACTTGAAATCGCATCATATGACCCCTTTAAATCGGACAGAAAGTCTTAAATATAAAGTTATGGCATAAAATACAGCACGTACTGCAAACAATTTTCCTCAGTATTTTTGTCTTGTTTTCCAGTACAAAAAATCTAAACATCCTTACATACATATGGAATCTTGTTTTCTGAGAAATAAGTGAGTTTATACTTAAAAGAACAAATATCTGTCAATGGGGTATGAAAAGTAGTTTCCTCTGTGAATTAAGATTTTTGATGAGCTCATTGGCAGATATTTGTTCTTGTTTTAATCATAAACTCACTTTATTTTGATCGATTTCTCATAAAACAAGACTTCTTAATCTATGTCGTTTTGCTTCTCAAGTAAATGTATCTTAATTTAAGAATCTTTGGAGATTTGCACTGGACAACAAGACAAAAATACCGATGAAGAACATCACTTTTTTTGCAGTGTGATCAGAAGTTACAGTAAAAGTTATTTCCAAATTCTAGTGGTCGGAAGCAGAGCTATTCAAGTCTTATGATTTTTTTATATATACATTTTAGTCTTTTATTTAGTCATTTGTTTATTTTTGGGAAAATTAATTAAAAAGTAATGGAGATCTGTTGAAAGTTGTATTTTCAAACGTATTTGCATGTGCATTGCATGTGTCTTTTCATGAATTTTCCACAGGGGTTCTTCAGGAGAACCATTCGACTCAAACTGGAGTACGACAAGTGCGAACGCAACTGCAAGATCCAGAAAAAGAACCGAAACAAATGCCAATACTGCCGTTTCCGCAAGTGCCTTGCAGTGGGCATGTCCCACAACGGTAAGAGCTTCACAAAGAGCATATCTCTATGACTTAGATTACACAGAATCAGTTTATGGCTTTATGATTTAAGTTCTTTAATGGCTTTATCTGTAATCAAGATGGTGTTTCATTTTATGACAATAATAATTGGCAACGCGTAGTTTAGTTGTCTAATGGAAGGCCAGGAAAATTAGATTAGAATCAAAATATAGAACAACAACCTTTACACACTCTTAGCATTGACAACATCCACACCTTCCAAGTCCCACCTATCGCCGATTAGAAGCGGGATGACCAGAGATGAACCAGATGACACGGAAGAAACGCCGTCCCGTTCTCTCACGAGACTTTGACCTGAACCGAGAATACTTTCTTCTGTTAGCCAGGGCTAATGTGCTAATGTCATGTGCCACTGTTAGCGCAATCCCTTCCGAGGCAGATCTGTATCATATCACGCCATACAGCCCCCCCTCCCCCAACGTCTGCCCTTTGTCCCAGTACTGATGAAGTGGCAGCAAGCAGTGTGATGACCTAAAGTTCTACTACTGTTGGTTTGTGTATAAACTGGGGCTGATGATTCAATACGCTAAAGTACCGTGATGAATTATTTAAAAAAATGATGCAATCAAATGAGCACAATCAGTGCCCCTGACCCAAATGTGAGTTTTGGGATTTTCCTATTATCCGAGCAATTCCAGTATGGATCTGCACATAGACCAGCAGTTAAAAAGTGTTTGATTGTTGTATTCATGCATTTTATCTGCGATATTAAGTTTTCCTCATATTGACAAATGCAGTTGCAGCACAGCAGACTGTTGGTCAGTGAAGTGGAAATAAAACTAACATATACAATTAATTAATGTAATTATTTAAGTAACAAATCATTATTTATTTAAAGTAACATTTCACATGGCATTTATGCATTTAGCAGATGCTTTTATTCAAAGCAACTTACAAAAGAGGAACAAAAGCACTTTTTTAATAAAGGCCAACAAGAATTCTAATATACAATGTCAGGTTTATTAGAAAACTAGATTAGGAAGGAAACAAGAAAAGATGAGAAATGCAGAGAAGAAAGGGAAAACAGCCTTCGTATTAACATTTTGCTAAGCTCGTAATGTATATGTGTTTGCTTTGTTTGTATACAGTACATTGTCTGTGGAAGCATGCACGAGCTTGCATCTGGTTTCATTGGTACTGTGTGTGTGTGTGTGTGTGTCTTACAGCTATCCGTTTTGGGCGGATACCCCAATCTGAAAAGCAGAGGCTGAAAGCCGAACAGGATGTCAACGTGAAAGAGGAGCACGAGTCCCAGCAGCCGGACACAAAGAGTCTGGCCAAGCAGATGCATGAAGCCTACCTCAAACACTTCCACATGAACAAAGCCAAAGCACGTGTGTTTCTCACGGGCAAGACCAGTACTCCGGTGAGTGACTGCTGTGTTGGGGAATCACTCACTCACTCATTTATGTTGTATAGCTCACACAACTTTAAAGCTGAGCAAAATGAGGCGACATTTAAACGCTGTCCATTATAGCAGAGGGTTCCCAAATTTTTTGTCAGCCACACCCTAACCCTTTAACCTAAAATGATTGCGTTAAGTTCCCCCTAAAATTTTGATGAAAAGTAATTTTTACAACACATTCGTTAATGTATGGTTTTCTTTCTTCTGCAGACCATAAAAAGATAGTTTGATGAATTTTGCTAACCAAACAGTTTTGGTTCCTGTTTAATTTCAATGTATTTTTTGTCCATTCAGAGGAAGTCAATGGAAAGTGAAACTCTATGAATATCAGCATTCTTCAACATATGTTCTTTTGTGTTCAGCAGAAGAAAGAAATTCAAACTCATTTTTTTTTTTGTAGTTTGTAGTTCAAAGGGATAGTTCACCCAAAAATGACAATTCTGCCATTAATTACTCACCTTCATGTCGTTTCAAACCCTTCGTTTGTCCATTTTTGATGGAATCTGAGAGCTTTCTGACCCTGCATAGACAGCAACACAACTGAAATGTTCCCAAGTCCAGAAACGTAGCAAGGAGATCTGTAAATAATAATCCATGTGACATCAGGGGTTCAACCATAATTATACGAAGCTACGAGAATACTTTTTGTGCGCAAAAGAGAAAAAAATAACGACTTTATTTAACAATTCGTCCCATTTTGGAGAGTATCAGGTGGACGTAAACTGCGTATGCACCTGATACTCTCCAAAATGGCGCTACAGAATTGTTGAATAAAGTGGAGGCTTTTTTTCTTTTGCGCACAAAAAGTATTCTCGTAGCTTCGTAATATTACGGTTGAACCCCTGATTTCACATGGATTATTTGCTTGCTACGTTTCTGGACGTTGATCGTGGTAGTACCCTTGCTGTCTATGGGAGAGTCAGAGAGCTCTCAGATTCCATCAAAAATATCTTAAATTGTGTTCCGAAGATGAACGAAGGTCTTACGGGTTTGAAACGACATGAGGGTGAGTAATTAATGACAGAATTTTCATTTTTAGGTGAACTAACCCTTTAAGTAACTACTTTTTCAAAAGTCTCGACTGTGCTTTTTACTGACTCTAAATGAAGTAGCTTGGCGAGCTGTGTTTTCAAAGTAGATTCCCCAACACTGAGAGGATGTCAATTGCTAATGAAGAAAACAGTGATCACTACTTGCACAAGCTATTCAGCACACTTTGAGTTGCACGGTCTGACCTCTCTCCATCCTTCATCGTAGCCCTTCGTCATCCACGACATGGACACTCTCCAGCACGCCGAGCAGAAACTAATCACCCAGCTGCTGGGCAACATGGCGTCCGGAGACGTCTCCACTCTGCGGGAGAGGGAAGTGGAGGCCCGGCTCTTTCTGTTCTGCCAGTACGCCTCTGTGGCGACGGTCACAGAGCTGACGGAGTTCGCCAAGGCCGTGCCTGGCTTTGCCGCCCTAGACCTCAACGACCAGGTGACTCTGCTGAAGTACGGCGTGTACGAGGCGCTCTTCGCTCTGCTGGCCTCCTGCATGAACAAAGACGGGCTGCTGGTGGCTCACGGCGGAGGCTTCATCACTCGAGAATTTCTAAAGAGTCTGCGTAAGCCCTTCAGCGACATGATGGAGCCGAAATTTCAGTTCGCCATGAGGTTCAATGCCCTAGAGCTCGACGACAGCGACCTGGCACTGTTCGTGGCTGCCATCATCTGCTGCGGAGGTGAGATGCAGATGGAGCATGGGAAGCGAAACAGAGGCTGTGTAAAATGGTCTTTGTGTAAAACATTTGGGAAACATGATATAAATTAAATGTTTCTTAACAGCGACTAGCAGCTTTTGAAAATTGGCTTTACTAAAGAATGAAATACTTGACATGAAATTGAAATGTCACTTGGTGACACGCTACATTCCAACTAGAGCCGGGGCCAGGGGTCACGAAGGTGTGCTAGAAAAGAACAATATTTGACCAAATATTCATGTTTATGGACTGTCAAACTTTAAAGTAAAATTTTTTTTTTTTTTGATGATGATCAAATATACCTTAGACATACAAAAACATCAATGAACAAGCAGACAAACAAACCCAAAGTGATGAAAGGAATACAAATGAATGAAAGCTAATAAAGAAATACATACAATGATACATCTCTTACTGCATAAATTGATCAGACACATAACAGAAAAAGGAAAAGAATCTAAACAGAGAGAGGGAAAAAAAAAACATATAGTCATCCTGAAACAAGCAATCAGAGTTTCTGTAAAAATGAATGCACAGGTTTCCAGAGTCTCCAGAATTAGTCAGATTTATGATTTAGATCTTAAGATTCTCCAAAGAGAAGAAAGCCTGACAACTGAGAAATCCACAGTGGGAACATGGGGAGTAGACCACCTCAGCAAAATACATCTTTTTGCCAGGAAACCGGACGGAGATAACTGGAGTTATCTTATACCCTTTAAAATAGTTATCTTAAGATATTTGTTAAGTATGGAGAAAGTAATAGTGTATGTAATAGGCAGAAAAGAAATAAAATAGAAGTATTTTAAATTGCTTAATGAAATTAAAAGTACAGTGAAAAAAATGATATTTTTCACTCTCACTATTGTTCTGACACACTATAAATGGATATTTATTCCAGTTCATTTATATCCGAGGTTATATTTAGGGGGTTTTGCATCAAAGTTTGGAGACATGGAGATATTTGAATGCAAATTTAAAGGACCATTGGACTAGTACAGGAAAAAAAAGGTAAATAAATGTATTTATTTTTACCTAAACTACTCCTGTGCTTCATGAACATCTTACGCCATATTCATGTCATCTCCTTTGCTGCACTCTAAGTAGGTTAGTTGTGGTACCGGTTGTTTTTATGTCACCTCTGGAGTGCCACAGACAGCAGCTTGTGAAAGGCATGACATAATAATGGTCGGAGTGAGATGGGGATTTTGTTCTCCTGAGAACTAGTGAAAATAACCACAGTTTCCTAGGAGCCCTAGCCCTAGGAGCTGCTGCCGTGTGGCAGAGACCCGAAAGCAGACGCCTCCACTAACCACGGCTTCCTGGAGGGCTGCTCTGTTTGCTTACACACCTTTAGCAAAACGAAAAAAAAAGTACATATGCAGGGATGTCACACTGCCGAAATTACAGCAGTCGAAACTCATAGCAGTGACGTCATGGAGTTTAATACCAATTTTGATACCATGGAAAAAAGTAACATAGCAATTGAACAGGAAAGTCATTTATCTGAAAAGTTCAGGATTAATATAAAAATTAATAATTGATGTGAAAATAAAGGCATGAAGTAATTTCAAGCATTCATTCAAGAAAACAGACTCGGTTGCAAAGTATTGGTGCTTTTGTCATCCTTACGTGTCTCTCTTGTGTTTCTTCCTCTCTCTCTGGATCTCCACCGACAGACCGTCCAGGACTGAGCGACGTGTCGCAGATCGAGCGCATCCAGGAGAGCATCATCCATGTCCTACGGCTCCACCTGTTGTCCAACCACCCCGACAACACCTTACTCTTTCCCAAGCTGCTGCAGAAACTGGCCGACCTGCGGCAGCTGGTGACGGAGCACGCGGAGCTGGTCCAGGACATCAACAAGACGGAAGATGCTTCACTCCACCCGCTTCTGCAGGAGATCTACAGAGACATGTACTGAGCTCAGAGCGTCGCTATTCTCGGGAAGGCAGGACATGACAGGGAAAAGCCAGCGTAATTCTAGGCTGAAAAATATAGCACTAACCTTTAATAGGGCACGGACCTTTATAAGGTCAATGCCTATAGTCCCATAGATCTTTTGTAAATTTGCCAGAGAGTGGATTTCAATTACAGGTGCAGTGAGCGAATGGCACTCAAAATATATAGAAATCCCTAAAAACATTTGTGACCCTGGAGCACAAAACCAGTCTCGAGTCGCTGGGGTGTATTTGTAGCGATAGCCAAAAATACATTGTATGGGTCAAAATGATTGACTTTTCTTTTATGTCCAAATTCATTAGGATATTAAGTAAAGATCACGTTCCACGAAGATATTTTGTAACTGTCCTACCGTAAATATATCAAAACTTAATTATGATTAGTAATATGCATTGCTAAGAACGGATTTTCTCAATATTTAGATGTTGTTGTTTTTTTGAGACATGTACTGAGCTCAGAGCGTCGCCATTCTCGGGAAGGCAGGACATGACAGGGAAAAGCCAGCGTAATTCTAGGCTGAAAAATATAGCACTAACCTTTAATAGGGCACGGACCTTTATAAGGTCAATGCCTATAGTCCCATAGATCTTTTGTAAATTTGCCAGAGAGTGGATTTCAATTACAGGTGCAGTGAGCGAATGGCACTCAAAATATATAGAAATCCCTAAAAACATTTGTGACCCTGGAGCACAAAACCAGTCTCGAGTCGCTGGGGTGTATTTGTAGTGATAGCCAAAAATACATTGTATGGGTCAAAATGATTGACTTTTCTTTTATGTCCAAAATCATTAGGATATTAAGTAAAGATCACATTCCACGAAGATATTTTGTAACTGTCCTACCATAAATATATCAAAACTTAATTATGATTAGTAATATGCATTGCTAAGAACGGATTTTCTCAATATTTAGATGTTGTTGTTTTTTGCACCCTCAGATTCCTGATTTTCAAATAGTTGTATCTCGGCCAAATATTGTCCTGTCCTAACAAAGCTTATTTATTCAGCTTTCAGATGATGTATAAATCTCATTTTGGAAAAATGGACCCTTATGACGGGTTTTGTGGTCCAGGGTCACATATGATCCCTCGGCTCACTGAAGACTGGCAGTAGATCACGAAAGAGCCATATTCGGCTTCATAAGCAGCTGTTTGTAGTGCGAGAGCATAGTTGGCATGTATTGCTGTTGACAAATTTGGCCGCGCCGAGATGATGTGCTACTGCTAAATCTTGAAGGGCGGGGCTTCGGATATACAGGGGGCGTGGTTAACGAAACCTAACTTTCAGAGCGGTCGACGCCGTCTCTGCCAAATAAGCACCAGCATTCAAGATGTAGGATCTGGGAAAATATAGAGTCGACTATCCTGAATATTGGGTGATTTGTCATATGACGTTTTAATGCTAGAATGAAATGTATAGAGAGAGAGCCATATAAATCAGATCGTTTGTTACCTCATTAGAAATGCTTGTACATTGAACATCATTTGTATAAAAATATTATTGTACACTGTATAGCACTCCAACTGTAATTTTACTGTACAAACGTGTTACGTGTTGTGAATTAGTACTGATGGGTACATTATTGTTTTATCGTTGTATACTTTTGCAGGGTAAATCTAAACGTCATGGCATCTAGAGCTAAATCTACTACAATCCACAAAGACACTTGATGAGGAAATGCTCTAGATTTCGCTTGCTGCAGTTTAATGAACCATTTCATGTTCATTTGTTTCTTTTGGGTGCGCAGTTACTGACTGACCTGGTGTTTGTAGTTTGAAATGAAATATAACGTTCATGAAAAAGGTTTGGAAAACCTGGAAAGGAGCGTGTGTTATTTCTGGCGCCGCCCCCCCGTCTCGTCTGATGTACCGGAAGCGGAAGCGCTCGACGCACCGTCGTGACGTCACAACAGCATGGCGCGCGCTCACTCGAAACAAACAGGGCGCAGACGCTGCGCAGCACGAGAATCGCACGTTAGAGGGGCATGGATCTGAGCGGAGGATCCGCGCTCGGCTTGTTCACCTGTGAGCTGTGCGAGATGTCCAGCCCGTACAGCTTCTACGGGCAGAAGCCGCCAAACACGAGAGCGATAGTGTGAGTACACAAGCACGTGTGACGCTGCAACGGAGCGCGCGGGATATTCGGTCTTCATAGGCAAGTAAGAACGTTTGTAATATAGCTTTAGTGATATGCAGTGAATTAGACGTATATAATGGTAGTATAGGCTTGAGCAAACCCGGTCATCTTGATTATTGGCAGGTGTGTGTGTGTGTGTGTGTGTGTGTGTGTGTGTGTGTGTGTGTGTGTGTGTGTGTGTGTGTGTGTGGTTTGCTATGGAAGGCCGTGAAGGCAAATATTTCTTGAGACGTTACGTGTACAGACGATATAACGCGTGGACGCGCAATTGCTAAAAGTAATCGGATTACTTTTCCCCAAGTAACTAGTAAAGTAACTGATTACTTTAAGTTACTTTTCCCCATGTATTCTTATATTAAAAACAATCGAGCCCTGCCTGTATTTAAAAAGTAACGCAAAAGTAATATAACGCATTTCCATAAAAAGTAACTAAGTAACGTGATTCGTTACTTTTTGTAGGGAGTAAGGCAATATTGTAATGCGTTACTTTTAAAAGTAACTTTCCCCAACACTGGTCACCGTGGCATGCAATTAATGAAACGGATATATGAATATTACATTCCTGGCATATTTTTGAATCGGGCCACCAGACTGCAAAATGACACCCAAAAACCGAAAAGGTGTCATTGTTAATGTCGTTGCAAAACTGTATGACTTAGTTCGTTGTTGAACATAAAAGATGTCTTGTGTAATTATCGTTCTTTTTCATATAAGTCAATGGCGATCAAAACCGTCGGTTACATAACCAACATTCTTCTTTCAGAAAATATTGCAACGACATCGCGGTGATTAAATGATAAACGAATAGCCCATGTGAACAATCTTAATATTTGTAGAGTAAAAATGAGTGGGGGAAATGAGTAACACTGTGAAATCGTGTACCATTTGAAAAGGTCGGGATTATTAAAAATAATGCGGTTCATGAAGTACAAAAGTGGTTTAGACGGTTTATCCACATGGATCGGTCGTTCGACTCGACAGCTATATTTGTGTACTCGAGCACTGATGAAGTGACTTCGAATGTCAACGCCACAGCAAAACCATGGACAGTCTCATCACTCACATCGAGCACTATCGGAGGCTGCTGTTATACGTACACACCGCTGTTCAAAAGTCTGGGATCAGTAAGATTTGTAATGTGTTTTAAAGAATTCTCTTCTGTTAATTATGCTGCATTTATTTGGCGGAAAAAAACAGTAATATTGTAAAATATAATTACCATTTAAAATAATGGGTTTCTATTTGAATATTATGTATTTCTGTGATGCAAAGCTGATTTTTCATCATCACTCCAGTCTTCAGTGTCACATGATGATTCAGAAATCATTCTAATGCGCTGATTTATCATCAATGGTGGAAACCGTTGTGCTGCTTAATTTTTGGGGGGAATGTGATGCTTTTTTCAGGATTATTTGATGAAGAACAACAAAGACAAACCTTTTCTTACAATATAAGTCTTTATTATCACTTCTCATCAATTTAACACATCCTTGCTGAATAAAAGCATTCATTTCTTAAAAAAAAAAAAAAAGACTGACCCCAAACTTTTAAACGGTGTAATGTATATTGTTACAAAAGATATATATATATATACACTAAAAGTCTTACTGTTTAAAAACTTGTGACTGGTAATGCTTTTGAAAGAATTCTCTTCTGCTCACCAAGCCTGCATTTATTTGATCCAAAATACAACAAAAATCAGTGATATTGTGAAATAGTTTTACTATTTAAAATAATTCAAAGACTAGTTAGGTACGCAGGAGCTAAATAACTGCTTTGTATTTGAACATTTGTAAAACATGTAAATGTATTCCTGTGGTTTTAAAGCTGATTTTTTTTTTAGCATCATTACTCCAGTCTTCAGTGTGTCACGATCATTCAGAAATAATTCTAATATTCTGATTTGCTGCTCAAAAAAACTTTAATTTAAAACAGCGGAGTACTTTTTTTCAGGATTCTTTGATGAATAGAAAGATCCAAAGATCAGCATTTATCTGAAATAAAAAGCTTTTGTAACATTATACACTAGACCATTCAAAAGCTTGGAGTCTATATATATATATATATATTATAGAGATTAATACTTTTATTTAGCAAGGATGCTTGATCAAATGTGATTCTAAAGACATTTATAATGTTACAAAAGATTTCTATTTCAGTTCTGAACCGTCTATTCATCAAAGAAACCTGAAAAATTGTACTCTGCTGTTTTCAACTTAATAATAATAATAAATGTTTTTTGAGCTGCAAATAAAAATATAAGAATGATTTGTGAAGAATCATGTGACACTGAAGACTGGCGTAATAATGCAAAAAAAAATCTGCTTTGAAATCACAGGAATAAATAATATTTTAAAATATATTAAAAAAGAAAGCAGTTAATTTAAAGGTCCCATATTGTCAAAACAGAAATTTCCTGGCTTTTTTCATGATAACTGAGGTCTAGGTGCTATGTAACTACCATATAAAATGCACACAGCCTGCATAAAGTAGCTGTGATTTTTCACAAACCGTTGTGACTTCCGTAAAAAGTTGACGTCAGAACTACACAGTCACCACCCCGAGCACCGCCCACAGTCCCACTCTCCTTTTGCCAAACCCCCAGACAACATTGCGGAAACATGTGGAAAAGGTTAACTTTAACCACGAAATCCAGCCACAATTAATCACAACAATGTATATACAATTACAAATGATTATATATAAATCGTCAATTTGTTGTTTTACACACATCCATACAGACATTATTTCATACACGACACAGTCGTGAGATGCAAGAAGTCTGTAGATGCGCCCATAACAACAAAAGACAATACTTTATTGAACCTTTTCTGATAAGAAGTGTGCGCTGCAAACGCAAGCATTTTTGACGATCGTCTCTGTCCAGTCTGCTCGTTTTATCGCGTTTAACTACAGCTGTCGTCGGTTTTTTTTGTCTGGCAGTGGCAGCAGATATGCGATCAAATGTCTAATTTGAGGCTGTATTACGTCGATTCTGGCACCCAACATCACAACAAGATATTTTAAGCTCCTTATGTAGTTTGAATGGGCCGCCTCCAGTTTCCCCTTTGTTTTGCTGCCTCCAGCTAGCGCTGTGACGCCGGCTGACCCTAGTTACCTGTGGTTGGCCTGGCCGTGCATCACTCTGAACACAACAGGCCAATCAGAAGAGAGGCTCATGAATATGAATTAGATGGGCCAAAATCTATACACCATACTGACAAAGCAAAAACAGAATTGTCACAACTTCGTACATTTATTAAAAATAAAACTGAAATAAGTACATTGCATAAGTAACAAAATATTTTGCTGAAGCACCTTTACAGCCTCAAGTCTTAGCTTTGCTCATCAGCATTTGGCAATTATCTGCCATTCTTCACCTCTCAAGTATATTGAGATGGTTTTTGGTAGTTATACCGCAAATATATATTCTTGAGGACATCAAAACCTAAGATAAGTCCAGAAAGGTGTAAAATATGGGACCTTTAAATAGTAAAAATATTTCATAATACTGGAGCGATGTTTGTCCTTCTGTAGATTTCTCCTATCTCCTCATATGATCATGGAGCTCAACTAGAGTGACCATCAGGTTCTTGGTCACCATGCTAATCAAAGCCCTTCTCCATCAATTGCTGAGTTTGGCCAGGAGGCCAGCTCTAGGAAGAGTCCTGGTTGTTTCAAACTTTTACCATTAAGGGTAACGGAGACTACATTGTTCTGCGACCCTTCAATGAAGCAGATTTTTTCTTCTCTTCCACAGATGTGTGGCTTGACGCAAACCTGTTTCTGAGCTCTACGGGCAGTTCTTTTGACCTTGGGGCTTGGTTTTTGCTCTGATATGCATTATCAGCTGTTAGACCTTTTATGAAGACATGTGTGCCTTTCCAGATCATACCCATTCAATTGAATTTGCTGCTGGTTAACTTCACTCGAAGTGTAGTGACATCTACAAGCAAAATGAATGCTCCTGAGCTAAAATGTAACTGTCCCAGATAAGGGTATGAATACTTGCGCAATGGAATCATTTAAGTGTTTTACCGTATTTATAATAAAATTGCCAAGATGTAAACTAGTTTTTTGCTCTACCATTATGGTGTATGGAGTTTAGATTGATGTGGGGAAAAAAAATAATTTAAAGCAGTTTAGCATAAGGCAGCAATATAACAAAACGTGAGAAAAAATTAATACTTTCGCAAGGTACTCTGTGTGTGTGTGTGTGTGTGTGTAGTTTGAGTTATGATTATTAGCATAATTAAGACATCCACTAAAATGTTATTCAGTGTAACAATAGCTCATATACTAACAAATGTTGTTAGGCTTATTTGGGATGAGAATCATTAGATTAATTCATGAAAAGACTGTATTTAAAGATCACCATGCAGCCCCTCAAAAATGGATTAATGGTAATTTAAAATATTGGCCAATCTTTGCCATTGTCCTTCAAATCACTAGGTTTGACCCATTTGTCAGTAATAGGTTTTTAGCTTTTCAGTGATTAAGAAATGTTGTATGATCACTGTCTTTTATACATTTAAAAATAATTGTAGTTTTATTGTTACATAAATATGTCTGTTACACAATGACAATGGAAGATGATTTCACCCGTATTTGGACACTGTGCGTTCACAAAAGTTATTAGAACCATTAAAGCAGACACTTGCAGGGTTTCCATGGCCTGAACTGTAAAATGTGTTTTCTGAAATCAGCGCGTATCGCACCAGATATGGAAAGGACTTGTAAGCTCCTGACGTCGGAGCTAAAAGCTCATTGAAATGTTTGTAGTAGCCCGTTTAACACACCGTCCCTTGATTTCAATGTCTGATCAGTTACACGTGGCTGAATAATTTCATGAAGGACGCCATTGATTGAGATGTGCTTTGTCGTTTGTCCTGCAGGCTCTTGGAGGAATGTTACGGCATGAAGGACCCCTTCAGCCCAGAGAGAGAAAAGTTTCTTGTTTTAGGATCCAAGTGCTGTCTGTGCAGCAAGACGGTGTGTGTGGGAATGGTACGTGTAGCTTTGATGAGAAACCAAAAACATGGCTCTCCAATAGTCTATTAGTTTTCCTCCTTTTGGAATGATTCAACGAAAGTAATAATGTATAGAAAATAGCCTCCATCTCTTCCATTATGTTCAAAATTTTAAAGATATAGATCAAACAATATTTTGAGGCTTGCATGCAGTGAAGCGAAGCGCAACGATGGCAGGATCAGGATCGTTGATATATATGTTTTGGAATCGGTGTCAACGGATCAATAAGCTTGTGTTTGTTTGTTTTCTGACAGGACTGCAGTCTGTTCTACACCAAGCGCTTTTGTTTGCCCTGTGTGCGGGCTCACCTTCATCAGTTTCCAGAACAGGTTCAGAACGAGGTGCTGAGGAAAAAGAGCGTCCAGAAGATGTCCTCTTCATGATGCTAGAATGATTTAGTCAGGACACTAGTGAGCCATCTGGCCAGACACACAATATGAACAGTTTGTGGTTTTTTGTTATTAGATTTGTACTTGTCTTGCGCAACTGGAGGCAGCAAAGCATGTTTTGATTAAAATCATTTCTGTGCTGTCATTGATTTTTCCTGAGTTTTATGATGGCGATAAATGCCTTGTGTTGCATGTAGAAGCTATAAAAGAAGTGATTGATGTGTATGCTTGTCATTGGTTGTGATTACTTGATGACTGAAAAGAAAAAGTGATGATGTAGGTGAGTCTCAAACGGTTGTTGGACTGCAAACCTGTATGTGAGCATGAGCATGCAAACACTACCACACTTCCGGACCTGCCTTCTTCCAGATCGTTCTGGCCTTAAGTTGAGCCTGAGTAAACCTGACTTGGTTGCAAAAATCACAGGTAAGTAGTGAAGTACAAGTTCCAGCACATGCACAGTTGGAGATCTGTGGCTCAGTGATCTGAGCATTGGCAGACAATGCCAGAGGTCCCTGGTTCAAATCCAAACAGCTTTCCACAATTAATCAATTGCAGTGGGTGGAGTTGACCAGACCGAGGAGTGAGTGGTGAGCTCAGCTGAGTGGATTGGCAAATAAAGTGGTGAGATGACCGTGAAGAGCAGCATGACGACGACACCTGAAGAAGGGGGACCATGACTGTGCCAACAGTTTACTCTTCGTCCACTAGATGGTGACACTAACCATGTTAAAGCAACTTCGCTCCCTATATTTTAAAAAAATATTTATTTTTTTTAAAGTGTAGAAAAGGTTACACATCTACTCCATGTCATATTAATGGGCCTCTTGCGAAACATTATCAAATGTATGACACTTTGCCCGGGCTTTCCTCTCCTCCCCCCGCAGACACTCTACCTCATGGACAATTAAACTGCAATAACCTTATTTCTTACCTCCAGCCTAGTTCACATGGGGCATCCACTTACTTTTCATTATCGCGTTTTGACTTTTTCCTGATCTACAAATCACGCTTTTACAATTAAGCCACCTGCTTCAAGAACTAGATATTTCTGTCTCACTTTAGATCACCTAGTGGGTTCGCGCGTCTCCACTATTTCTATCGTGTTTCACTGATGGGCGGGCTCCGCCGGCGAAGCGTCTTCTGTTTAAATAGCCTTCGCTGTCACTCTTTCTCTCTCCCCCCCCCCCCCCCCCCCCTGCCAGTATACTTGCGATCGCCATATTGACTGCTCGTCTGTTTTTCTTCGGAATTACTACCACACGGAGTCGCGCGCGATTGTTATGCGTGCGCTCTGCGGCTTTCTCGGGAAGAAGGATCGCTCTTAGTTAGACCTCGATTGCGATTCTCTGGACGAACTTTCCCGTGCAGAATGTCAAAAGTGCGCGTCTCCAATGGAAGTCCGACGCTGGAGAGGGTGGACGCGAGGCAGGCGGATCACGCCAAACCGCCGGTCTGCAGAAATCTCTTCGGCTCCGTGGATCGCGAAGAGCTCGCGAGGGACGTCAAGGAGCAAATGCTGGCGATGGAGAACGCGTCCAAGGAAAAATGGAATTACGACTTCGACAAAAACGAGCCGCTCGCGCCTGGCGACTACGAGTGGCAGGAGGTGGACGCGAAAGAGGTGCCGGAGTTTTACACCAGACCGCCTCACGCAAAACGGGATACCTCGGCCGGGACTGTGGATCATAACGGGACCCGCGACTGTTTGTTGACAACGAGCGTACAGGGGGACTCTGACAACGCGGAGCACGGGAGGCGCTCGGATTGCCGAACGACGCTTACCCCGCCGACAAAAAGACCGTCGACAGAGGATCAGGGTAAATGTTTTGGGAGTCTCGGTGCTCTTGCGTTATTTGCGCGCAGACCTCGGGGGACAAACAGTTTGCCCTGCCGATCGTGTGTAATGCTGAAACTGCTTGCTTTCGCGGTCTATAGCTCGCAAATAAAGTCGCTTTTCTAACACAATCTTCATTCTTTCGATAGATCTTCCTTGCCAAAGCAAAAGAGCCAACGTCCAAGCGACCGAGGCGAACTGCTGTCCAGAGACGAGTTCGCACGCGCCCAGCAAGTCGGATCCCAAAACGTAAACAAGGTGAGTTTCGCGCGCGCTGTCTGGTGCAGGACTTATTTGATGCATTGATGTAAACGCCTGTAACTTATTGCTACAAAGATCGCGTTCAACATAGCTGATGTTTTGTTTGGTTTTATATATAATTGTTCTCTCGGTTTTAAACGCGAAGAGTGTTCGTTCCTCCACGCGTTGGCAGTGTATTAAGCGTTTGGTTTGGACTTTTAAAACGCACGCGCGTTTAAGCCGTTCTGTCACCGCGCAAGTGACAGTCGAGTCAAACGGGACTCAAATGCATAACATTGTAGTAACACGTCAGCGGGTCTCTTGTAGGGTGTGCGCGTGGGGGGAGGAGGAGGGGGTCTGGGTTCACAATGCAGGCATATAGTTGCGCGCAAAATTCCTCGCTTTTCATTCGCGCTGTCCTGCGCTATCGCTCCTGTTTTAAACGCGTCGTGGAGATGGCCGTTTGTTTACGCGCAAATATTGTTGTCGTATTTTTCTGTCCTTTATTTCATGCATTGTGTCGTTGTGACGTTTTTGCACGCGCGTTCGACATGCTATTTCCTTTGCTAATCAACTTTTTCCCCTTGTTCCCTGCAGAGACGGATGAAGAAGACTCATTTCTCCATCAAATACTTCCAAGAGCTTTATGAAGTAAACGGGGACAGCGGTTGAAAAAAACAAATCGAGCCTTGGAGAGGCTGTATAAGCACTGAATTTTTACACTAAACTTTTGGCACTCGACAGAATATATTTGCCTCAAAAGCAGACAATGTAGCAGTGTGCAATTGGAGTTTCGTTTGTTCTTTTACTACCTATGTATATACTTTCATTTTATATGTAGCACATTTAAATGTAATATTAAGATTAAAAAAACACAATCATTTATAATTGGAGTGCGTTTGACTTGAAGAATTGCTGTGCAGTTTTCAAAACGTCTCCCCAAAATGTACCCTTTGCAAGTAAATATATCCATGTCAAATACAGACACGTACACACCATTTCCCTTTAATTAGGTTCAACAATCCCATTGTCTCGGTTTTGGCTGGCTCAGGATGTTGACAGTCAGAAATACACCTTCATGTGATTTTAAAGATATATAATAGTGCTCAACAGCAGCAGCACAACCGTCAGCATTTTTTGAAGTTGCACAAATGTCACTGTTTGAAAAGCATTACAGACTTGTTCACCTTCTGTGATCTGGCTACATTAAAATGATTCCATATTTGTCTCGGTTTTGGCTGGCTCAGGATGTTGACAGTCAGAAATACACCTTCATGTGTATCAGTGTTGTGCTCAACAGCAGCAGCACAACCGTCAGCATTTTTTGAAGTTGCACAAATGTCACTGTTTGAAAAGCATTACAGACTTGTTCACCTTCTGTGATCTGGCTACATTAAAATGATTCCATAGTTGCATTGATACCGTTCATGTTTATTGGTACTCGTATATGATTTTGCCAGCCAAAGTTACAGCACGTTGGGCATGTGGTGTTCTTCTCTGAAGGGACTGTGACTCCTAGTGTGGTATTAAGGGTTTCATGCTTTTTTTACAGTATTACTATATCCCCGGGTTATTCCACTAATTTAATTGTCTCTTATTTTGCCATAATTCTCACGAACTACAAATTCTAAATTTGAGTACACATTCAAAAATGGATTTTCTTATTTTCTTTTTTTTTTATGTTTTTCTATTCATTGCATTGCTGTGTAGCATAATGTTTATATAAATATATATTTCTTCTTTTTTTTTTTTCCTTTTAACACTGGGCCATATATTTTGCCATAATTCTCACGAACTACAAATTCTAAATTTGAGTACACATTCAAAAATGGATTTTCTTATCTTCTTTTTTTTTATGTTTTTCTATTCATTGCATTGCTGTGTAGCATAATGTTTATATAAATATATATTTCTTCTTTTTTTTTTTTCTTTTAACACTGGGCCATACAATTAAGAACGTTAGTCCATGAAGCCACTTCTTTGCCACAATATATTTGGCTTTCGTGTTGAACATGACATGGCACTATGACAAAAATATGTATCAACCCGCTACTTTTTTTTAATTAAGACGTTACACTGCATGTGTGTGAAACATTGAAGTGTACCTGTGCGTACCGCTTTGTAAAGAAGACACAAATTACAACAAAACAAAAAAAACACTGAGGACATTTTATTAATTTATTTATGTCAAGCTTTTTGTTGTTCATGACTATCCAAAGTGGCATTTGTGCATTTTCTGTATGTACTTCTTTTTATCGTTTTTTTTCCCTCCACAAATTTGTGCAAGGTTGCAAACTGAGCCTATTCAAAATTTTAAGTGGATTGTGTACTGCTTTATAAATGAGATGATTAAACCATAATGACATGAACACTTCACCTGACTCCTTTTCATTATATTGTGCAGAAAAACATCTGAATGAAAACACACTCTTAGGGGAAACTTCAATACACTTCTCACATCCTGCATTAGCAAAAGCCCCAAACTGACCATAAGCTGTTCTAAAAACCTAAATGCATTTCAAACAATTCCAGAAGTGATCAATACATCACTCTCAGGTGCTAAATTGGTATGTGGCAGCATGAAACCTATGGAATTTAGTCCCCCCCCCACACACACTTTTTTTAATTTAGCGATATTGAACAACATAGGACAAACACGCTTTAAAAATGATTTGTCCTATGTAGTGTACCCTAACCCTAACCTAACATAGACTGTGCAAGAGATGCACACTACCAATCAGTTTTTACACACTTCACCCATGATTAAACTGTTGCTACACTTCAGATCCCTTTTAGATTATCTTCAAATCATGTTACATGTAATATTTCATATGACACGTAAATAGCAAAGAAGCTCTGTGTTGATTTTTAATCGGACATGTTTCAAAATCATATAGAAATAAAACAAACAAAATAACCTTGGCACTGCAAAATACTACAACTGAACTGACCCCAGTATGTTTGGATTCAATATATTAATAAACACGACGGGCCGAACTATATTACTCAAAATACACAGTGTCAAATCGAAACGCTGTTTTCTTTTAAATTGTTTGGTCGCGCGTTAACTTGCAAAAGACACACACCCTCAAATATTTATCCCGATTGAAGATAACGTACGTGGTCACGTTGACCTTATTCTCCTCGTACGTTATCCTTGTAACATCCAGGACATTTTAAGCGAATTTTTCAAGCGTTTTTACAGCTTGCGCACCGTTTGGTTATTTAACTCAACGTGCAACAAGTCTGTGCGTAAAAGCTGCTGCGTTTCTAACACACAACTTACGGAGCTCCCTGCTTCAATAAAGAAAAAAACATGGACACGTCCCGAGCAGAGGGGTGGGGTGGGGGTGGGGGGGTGGAGCCAAGATACTGACATACGGTTTGTCCAATCAGACAACTATTAAGAAAAACACACCACTTACTGTAGCCACTGAGATTGGCTTTGCGCGCGCTAAGGCTGGAGTAAGAGTGTGTTTGTACAGAGTGTTCTGCTCGTACAGCACAACCCAGAATAAGAGCCATTGGTCAGACTGATATTTCTGCTGATGTTTGCGAAAGGGAAGGGAGAGGTGAGTTTGGCCCGAGGGTTAAATCGCAAGGATCTTTCTAAAGCCCCGTCCTCCCACTGCTCAGAAATCACGGCTGCATAGTTGACGACAAAACGCACATGTATGAATTACACACCGGTCGCAAATTACACGAGCGAATGAGAAATTATTTTTGAACCCCGTTTATACTTTATCGCATATTTAACATGACGGTGACGTGAATGAAAATGTTACGGTGCGATATATATACACACACACACACACACACATACATACATATATATATATATATATATACACACATATATATATATATATATATACATATATATATATATATAAATATATATATATTATAGGGGAGGCTAGTTGTAGATTGAACCGTGAATAAGTTACATACATACATACATATATATATATATATATATATATATATATATAAATTTAAAGTTAAAAAGGTCATTAATGACAGCAGAAATGTAAGGGGCAGCACAGAAAAACATTCTAAACATCGTTTTGTCTGACAAATTAGGCCTATAATCCAATTAAATAATACAAATAACAAAATAAAATGTATAACATCACAATTAAAAAAAGGTCCTGACATCCTTGTCCTGAGAAATCTGTTTATTGACTCTCATCTGGATACTACTGTCATTTTATTGTTCACTTGTAACAGCTTTAGCCATTTTAGACACTTCTGCCATCTTAGAAAAAACAAATATTCTAATGTCAAAATAATCCGTTTTGAATTAGGTGCACATTTCATTGGACTTCAGACTAAAAAACCTAATATAGTCTGTGCAAGAGATGTACACTACCAATCACACTTTTTACACACTTCACTCAATTTGTTACACATCATCTAATAAGCCTTTAAATGTTCAAAACTACTTTTATAAAAAACTCCTACAAATATTAATTTATTTCATATTAATTTGTATTCAGTTGATTACTATTTTTAGTATGTCTTTGATCAGATAGAAAAGGAAAAGCATGTCCGGCATACATAACAACTCCTTCAATAAAGCATCCCGGGATGTGAGAGAAAGAACAGAGTGTGTCGAGCGTTTTTGCTCACTACATTTTTTCCCTAACTTCTAATTCTATTATCTTACACTTTTCATGATTTCTTTTTATAATAAAAGTGAAAATAATAATAATGATCATAATAATAATAAAGTCTCAAAAATTAAAATAATAAACCTTAAGATTTCTAATAAAATGCTTTGCACGGTGGAAATCATTAATACATTTCATGCATTGCCTCTTACACTAAAGAAAACAATTCATATTATATGCGATTCTTTTCACCCAAACATCTTTCCACTACAAATATAACAGGCTTGTGGTCAAATTATTGAGAAAACCATTGTTACTGGCACAACACCCTTCATCAGATGAGACAATATGCTTAAAACCTCTTT